GTGTTATCGGTGCTGCATATATGCTGAAGAAAGTGAAAAAAACGGCATAACTTCCCTAAAAATGACCCTGTAAGTTTCAAGCCAAAAGGTAAAATGGCTTTCCACTAACCATGTTGTCTGTGCTGCATATATGCTGAAAAAAGTGAAAAAACAGCATAACTTCCCTAAAAATGACCCGACATATCTGTGTTTGTACATAAAAAGGCGAATTTTGAAATGAAAAGCGATTTTATTAATTGTATTTTTCGTTTCTATGCAGTTCACTTCAAAATATCATTGCAATATTAAACCAAATTCACAGATTGTCCTACTTAAAAACAAAGTGGTAAATGCACATGGCATCTGTGCCATACGCATACTTGCAAAGTATGAATTAACAAGAAGGCCATTTATGATAATTATCGTACTAGTAAACTCCTTTATTTTCTTTCAACTATTGCAATACAAAGCAGAATGCATATAATATCAAGTAAAAATATTTGCATAGCATTTATATATGTCCTTGGCCAACAAATATCAGACGCATGCACATGCTACCTGTACTAGTAGCCTACCCATACTTTTAAAGACACAGTGAAAAGATTGCAATTTCACTTTGCGATTTGCTGAGCACATGGCATAACTAATTCTACATTATTATGTGAGGTTTACAACAGTATAGCCGATAGACCACCCCGACACAATCACTCGATGTTAAGTTTGAAACACATTGACAGATTTGCACGATGACCCACCCACCTCTGCCTCCAACAGTTTCCAGTATTAAATGAAATATATACCACTATAACAATAGCAATTGTTCGTTCAGTTCACATTACAATTTATCTACTAAATATTAGTAATTTATCAACGCAGTTGGAAAATTGACAGGCTCAAAATTACTTCACAAAAATACCATGTAAAATTATTGCTCAAATATACAATGACATAAAAGTTTTGATTGTAGCGTTCGTTTTATCAATAGCTGCCTCTTACACAACACTGAAATGTAATGAAGAATATTATCGCGACATATATCTTTAGAACTGTATCAATATATTCTGTGCGAGTAAGAATAACAATACTGGTACACTGGTTACATACTATTTCATATATAAAATATTAGTCGCTAAATTTGTCTGTCACGATGTACATGTATCACGGCGTCTGTCTTTAGTTGCAACGATATTCTTTGCGCAAGCAATAACAACAATAATTCATTAAGCTGCATAATATCTGATATATAAAACATTCCAAACTTGTTTTCATTTTTTCCATTAATAATTAATTGCTTCTTCCACAAAACTAAACATTGATGAAAACATTATCAGGAGTTGGATCTTAAGAAATGTAGCATTACACATCCTGTATTTTGCACATAAAATAAGTCGTGTGGTACATGTATATCATAAACAAAATGTCAGTCCTACATTTTGTAAATAATAATTTTTGTTATTTAATCTAGTGAAATAGCTAATCACTCAATACTTAAGATATTTTCACCCTGTGAATCTTTTTCTGATCTGGCTCATCTTTAACGCAATTTTTTCAACTCTTCGGCTCCAGGGAAATACCAATAGGTTCCCTTAACACAATCCGAAAGCCTCATCACATCATCCGAGTGAGGGTCTCCGCCAGCGCCAACCATGCGATCCAGCATGAACTCAAAGTTTTGAGGATGAGCAGCATAGCCAATGAAGAACAGACCACATTTGTCACTCAGATTGCCATAGGGCATGGACTGACGAACAATCTCAAACTTCTTTGGCTGTGCAAAGGCATTTCCTGGATGGATGAATAATGAAGTCATTAATGCCAATACCAGTATTTTTGATATTAAAAAAAAGTCAAGTGCTCCTGGGTTAAATTAAACATCAACGTAAATACACTGTGCTAGTATGAGGAGTGTTGCATAGTCCTTGAATATCAATTCATGCACACATACATTATATACTGTACTCCAAGGCACAAATTCATCAAAACAACTGTACATGTACATTGGCTTTCAACAATGTATTGATGGTTTTCTTACTCAGGCACCAACTGTTACTAGTGGCATAGTTTTTTAAATGAGCATTGGTGTTTGAATTTAACAGCAATTATCCTAATGATATAAAGATCAAAACCTTTCAATCAGTAATAAATCACTCTCACTCACCTCCAGTCATTCGGGCAACATGAGAAGAGATGGGTTTTTTCTTCAGCTCAGTGCTGTCTTCCCTACTTCTGCCAACCCAACCTTCCATGACAGAGTCTAAAACAAACACTTTAACACTTAGTAATGACTTTAGAGGGTAGAAAAAATAGAAATATTTTACACAATGAAAACTGCACTTATTCAGTTTTAAATTTTGCCTTCTTTTGCAAGTGGTCTATAGCTAAGATTTGTCACTCTGGATTTGGTTTCAGCACTATTAACTTTCTTACTTGTGTCAATTAGTTCAACATTATTTTCCATATCACATCAATTTTAATGGATTGCTGATATACATGCACTAGTATGTAATTAGTGTATTTTTTACCTTTTGTGCTGTTAATGACATTCATTCGATGAATCCACTTCTGTGTAATCTGTTTAAAAAAATGTGAATTTTAATTTACATGCATTAATTTTCCATGCCTGATAGTAATAATTGAAGGCTTAATTTGCAGTCCCTTTCTTCAAAGCAGTGTGTTACATTTTGCTTTACAGGATGTTGTTTTGAAATTCAAAACCTCATCATTGCATTTATGATATTTAGGTCCAAAAATGCACCTAAATATACATGTACTCAGGTATAGGTAATTAAGGGTATACAAACACAAATGACAAATATGAACCCAAATAAACAGAAAGACTGTACTATGACAAGCAGGTTATCTGTGGATACAAATACTGTCATGCCTATAATTCACGCGACAACTAATTGATCATTTTCTGACATCTGTATGCGTACATGGTGACGAGATAATTATAGGGCAAAACACAATGGCAATGAAAATGAGAAGACGTCAAGCCCGCCCTATGTTCGCTAATATGCAAATCAACCCCGCTTGTCCATCGGTGGCGGCTTGTCACCCTGTTTATGCTCGACGGGGAGTTAATTGCCGCTTGCTGTAAGCCGACGTAATTACATAGTTGCTTATCTGCCGGTACTGTTCCTTTCTCTAGGCTGACATAGGGCCTATCTCCTGCCTTGCTAACGGGTTTTTCTTCACTTTGCAAAGATTTGTTTGAAAGATTTAATATTTATTCTACTTGTGAGTTTTNAGAAGTTTCCAAACGTAAGGACAAAGAGAAAAGTGTGATGTATCGAGACAAAAGGGAGATCGGTAGATACGTCCAAAATTAGGGAGACTTCTGCCAAGTTCGGAAGGGTTAATTGGTATGGGCCACAGACTGATCGCTCGAGAAATTCACCAAAACTACAAAAAAATCCTTCAAATGTATTAAATAGCAGAGGCCCATTCCCCTGATTGTAAGAAGCAAACAAAACAACGAGACGGCAGGTCGACATTCAGCCTAGAGCAAGGTGCAATACTGCCAAGTTGAAAGCTGTTAATTAAGTCGGATTAGAGCGCGCATCAATTTACTTCCCGTCGCGCTTGGCGAGGACGAACTCCCGTCTCCAAGGGTCGCCCGTACAATAATTTACATATGCGCTCCTCCCCTGTGCGCTTAGGCCCTGTATGAGTCCACGTCGCTATTGTTTGCTACCCGCACAGGCTTTTGTAGTTTATCAAAACAACCCATTGTCTCTCAGGGGGCGTGAGTACAGAGTTAATACGTACATGGAGTATACGCATACGGATTGTCGCGCGAATTATGAGCACAACCAGTAACTTCCTACATAATAAATTTAATAAGTAATAAGATACTTTTAATTTTGGTAAAATTGTGGTAATGATCCATGTAAAATTGCACATCCTCAGCATCAGTGTAGACAATATAGAACAAGTACATTAATCAATACACATACCACATAACTCCCACCAGTCTCTTTCTCCACGGCCACTTCTTGGCGAGATTCATCATCTGCTGGGTTCTCAGTGCCTGACACATAATAAAAACACAATTAAACACTTCTTCAACATCAGAATGGAACCTTATTTCTTCACAATCGATTTCAATTTTTCGGCCTTTAACATTAACATACTGGTGTACTTGAGAATTGTTGAAAGGGTATGATTATGAAAAGGATCTTGAACAGAAGCAAAAACCAAAATCAATGTACATGTAACTGTCTTCTCATCAAGAACCTACAAAAAAAAAAATAAATAAATAAAATAAGAACCAGCATTTAAATGCACACATACTCTATATGATATGACTTCAAAGACATTGCTGTTACGGTACTCACCATCAATGAATCCTGACAGATCCCTGCCATATCTGAAGACAAAGCTGTACACATCCTCATACTCCTTGACACTGTCCTTGGGGAGACTCTTCAAGATCTGCTGACACAGCTCAAACAACTTACTCTGTTCATCGCATTTAGCATGGACAAAGATATCCCCACCTAAGGGAGGAAACAAAGAACCCTCAAAAAATAATCCAAACTGATCATATACTACACCACCAATATACTTTATACAGTTAAATGTATTTTGAACATTTCTTTGCCAGCATGTTATATCTATTATATAATGTACATATGCCTTGAATACCAGTGCATGAAAATATACTATCATTAAAAACTGTGTTACATTTTGACCCTCTATCTAAAGCATCAATTTTATGAAGTTAATTAAAGCAATCCAAGCCAGGATTTTGAACACATTCTCATTGCATGAATCACTTCTTGCTGAACTTATCCGAGGACAATTGAAACTTTTAAAATACAATATTGTAAATAATAATCATATTTAGCAATCTTGACAAATCTTGTGCTTTATCAAGAATTGTTAGAGTTATGGCAATTGTCAAAAAAGTAAGAATTAAGGTTGGTAAATAAAAGTTGGCGGGAAATGCCATTTAACCTGGGTAAATTTGTTTAATATGAGTTTATGGCAGGAAAATCCTGGCTCTGAATGCTTTAAATGACGCATGAAATTGATGTACTTGTTCTACAATATGCATTGTTATTTTGCATATATACTGGTACATGTACATTGCTGTACCTGTACTGGGCATCTCTCCCAATGGACCCTGGCGGTGTCGGTATGCATAGTCCTGTTTGGTTTTTCTACCAAGCTGAAAGGCAGAAACATTTTATTTTCAAGTAAGTTAAACAAGTATATATATACGGTATATATTTACCAAAATTACGCTAAACAAATACTAGCATGTAGGTCAGTTAGAGAAGATTCAAATTTTTTTATATATCATAAGTTGACAGGTCAGAAAATGGATAAATGATGCACATTAAGTATTTACAAACCATATGTTATCAGTAAATGTAACAATAAACATATAAACCAAATGAGCAATTTTACATGGGAAAAACTATAATGGAAGGAAGTGTTTTGTTGGGGGGGTGGGGGGGTGGGAGGCAATAATATCAAGAGCAGATCTGGCATGAAATATTTTCTGGGCCAGTATGTGCTCTGTGCTGTTTGAAGTGGGTCTTGGTTAATGTCTATACCTGGCTGTAACAATTGGGGCCAAAGCCAACACCAGCCCATATCTCAGAATCCTCAGTTCTGTCAGCAGGGGGGTCCACAGCATCAACATGTTTCTGCAGGTTGGCCACCACTTTAGCACACGCCTTGGAATCTGCCTCTGGTTTCAAGTGGATCCAAAGGTACAAAGCATGCTGCTTGGTCTGAGAAAAGACCTGTAAAATAAAGACAATTGAACTTTGAAAACATTATGTTGTACTATAACATTATTATTAATATTATTAGTATAACATTTATTTTTGTTTTACATCAGGATTTTCCATTTTATTTTTATTTTTTATATTTTCTGAAATTCTTGGTTTATAAGCTTGTTTGTATGTTTGCTTGCCTATACATTATCTCTGATATTGTTATGCAGTGGTTAAAATGACTGCTATCCTAAGGATAACTGTCCAAAGGACAATTTGATCGTAAGGCTAGTGTTATTCATTGGATAGTGCTATCCAGTGTCCATGAGACTAGACCCTGGTTAACAAAGTTGGTTGTAATTCACACTCAAGCACTTATGACTAAATATCAAAAATACTAAAATTATTAAATTAAAATGAAAAACAAAAAGTACTTTAGCTTTCATATTTTCAAATAAGTCAAATATACTGAAATACTCATACTCACAGATGGCTGACTTTCCGGCAAGGTTGCAGCATGCACTGGCTGAAGGAGAGCATGTTTGGGAACATCACCACCATACAGTTTGTAAGCTGTATATGCTCCCGCAGTCCCTACAGCCACTGCTGCTGCACCTAGCAGCACTGGTCTCTTGGTGACGAAGGTCCTAGTGCCATAACTTCTACTGGACTGGAAAACTAGGACAGAAATAGTACAGTGTAGCAGACATTCTAATTATTTTAGGAAAATTATTTGGGAATAACATCTACCAGCATTACGAGCAGCAGCTTTTGCACAAGCTAAATTGTTAAATTTGAACTTTCTTCAGAGGCAGTGAACACACAATAAATGTAAAAAATAGAAACATAATGGAAATTTCAGCATTTACTCTTCAAACTAGACTAACAAACTGTTGCATAAATATTCTACATTAACCACTTCTATGACAAAATACTTATTTTGGGGCATCACAAAAAATACAAAGATCACAGACAATAACATAAAAGCCTTTATTTACTAGTACTTGTTCATGAACATCACTATTTCTTGCATGCTAATGCTAAAACCAAGGGGAAAAGGACTACCAAACACCTGTGGAGAATCTGAGAAATTGCCGGAGTCCAAAATAGAGCCAGCAATCAGCTCTAAACAGAAATCAGACAGAAAGGTCCAGGTTGTAATAGGAAATTCTTCCAATCACAAGTTCATTTTTAGAAACACAAAGTAAATGTAAGCATACCTAAAAAAAATCATACTTAATGGTTTTAATTGTCTGATGTCAACTGAAACTCGCCTTCTCATTCAAAACACTACATGTACCAGTAAATGTATATCCAAACATTTCCAAGATAAATCCTTGAATCTCATTTATGTGAACATATTCAGTGCTGTCTCTCACCCTGACAAAACTCTGATTATATAGTCTTTCACCCTTACAAAACTCTGATTATATATATATATAACCAATGCAGTTTAAATGTTTCCAAGCATGACACAGACACGTTATATCATGCCAATCAATCAAGAAACTCCGCCTTCTTTTGACAGTTCAACTTCTTTCAACTTGTCCTTACATAAAGACTGAACTTCAGTATATTAGAGTGCATTCAGAACTGATTATCCACCCACAAAATATGACAGACTACTAATAAGCAAGCTACCCTAATCCCTTGGTCTTTCTGCCTCCACATGTGCCATTCAAGTTTAAATTTTGGCTCCTCCGAGTTTCAATAGGATAGGCCCCTGCAGCGACAGCCATGTGGAAGCAGGGAATTAGAGACATCGCTTTTAAATGGATTAGCCATATACATCAAGTCCGCGGGTCTGTTAGTCCTTGGATCAACTTGTTCTGAAGGCACTCTTACAGTTCAAAATGAATGCAGTACACTACTTGGAAACATGCTTAGTCAAAAAAAAATCTTCTCAGACTTAATTATAGTGCTGGTAATGGGAGTTGTCCCAGAGGAGTTACACATGTACCTGTAGATATTGTGAATCTTTATATTAAAAGACGAAGGGAATGTTCACCTCATTTCTTTTCAACCTCTTCTGGGGTAGTGCAATATATATCTATTGTACAGGTGTACAATGTGGTAGATATTAGTTCCCATCTTGGATGAATTTATTTCACCTATCAGTAATGACCTAATTGTACATAAGGATTGCATGATCCCATTGATCATCTCAAGTTTCTCCTTAAATCTTTCCTTTATAAAAAAATGTTGCTTCTATGAAAGGTTGAACTTACGATTAAACACTAAACAGTCCTGGAATGTACAATTATGTTATTTCCTAACGAACAAAAAAATGAAGTACATCCTTTACCCTTTGGTCTACACAATCGTGATATGAAGTTTATGTTATTTTTCACTTGGTTCGTTTCACCTATATCAAAGCTACTTTTTTCCGACGTTCTTTCCCTGCAACATGACCCGAGGGAAAGTGTTACACAGCCAATATGACATCACTACAAAAAGTCAATAGTAGTAGTTTTGACCTCATTTCACCTACTAACCTTACACAACAAACAACCCAATAAGACTGCACAAAGGTATCCATTTTTGCTGCCAAAGACAATTGTACACGTCTCTGTTTATTCTTTATAGCTTACAAGAGTGAATATAGTTCAAATGGTACTGAACTATGCTCATTACGAAGTGCATATTTGATACCATACTGGGTTTTTATGCACTGTCATACCACCGCAACCCCAGGCATAGTGACACCCCATCTTTCTCTCCACGCATGCTTTCAGTTTCAGTTGCCGCTACTCACTGCCAATAATTACAGCAATACTATATCATTTTTTCAGTTTGTTATGAATGTTTTAAATTTGAAAATACCAACCTGTTGGTCTGGCACTGCCAAGTTTCCTTAGGAATTGCGTGCTTCGTACGACAGCCATGTCAAAAATCCGTCTCAATCTATGCGACCGCGTTTCCCCAGGTCTCTGGTTATCGTGATATGTAATAATATCACATGACTTGTCATGTGACTGATTCTTGTCAAATCTCGAATATTATCGTTTAGCCTGTTATATAGACGTGAATGAATAGAAAATGGCAGCGACGGGCATGTGTTCATCTATTTCGCGGCGAATTTTTTCTTCCCTTAGAACTTCTAATGGCATGTTTTCATCTAAAAACAGGTAATGTTTGTGCAAACTGCATTTACACCTATTGACAAGTCGCCTTTGGTTGATCATTAAATTTAACGGATGAAAGTCACGTTTTTGTGGTGGTACACACCGTAACACACGTGTGCCACTCGCAATGTTCAGTGTGAGTGTTTATGTAAGTTTTCGATTTAAGTTGCCTTTCTCTTGTGTTTTAATTTAGTAGTACTATTTGTTGGTTGGGATGAGGACTAGCGATCTATTAAAGGATAAGAGTCAAGGGATTAAGGGAAATCAACAAGAGTAAAATTACTTTCTTTTGAAATTAAAAATCCTGATGCAATATCAAAGCCTTCTTGTAGTATCTGAATATTAGCTTAGTTTTTTATACGTAACTGAAGTGAAACTTTTATATTATAACATTGGTTATGGGGCTCAGGTTTAAGGAATCATTGAATATGAAAAGTACTATAAGTATGTTATTATTTATCTAATCTGTGATAGTTAGGGTCACCACATGATTTCTTTCTAATTAAACAAGAAACTGGAAATTTTTCACACGGATAGCTACATATCTGTGTATGAATAAACTGTTTAATTTTTTTTTTTTTTTTGGTTTTTTTTTATTTAGATATCCCCAGGATAGGATATCCTAGTAAAAATGAGAAAAGTCCTTGTTCTAATGCATGGCATGTTTTGCCTTTTAACAGCTTTTTAGAAAAATTCAATTTAAAAGTTTGCCTATACATTTTTTCACTTCCAATCTTTCCTAGATTGTCAAAAGAAGGTCCATGTGGTAGTACTAGCTGTTTTTAGTCATTCTTCAACACAGCTTCAGTTCTCAAAGTAGTTGTGAAGCAGCATGCACTATATAAATCTGATACTCTGGGGACTTTTTTATGGCAGCTTGTGCAAACAAACCACTAGCGGCACCTATGCCCCTTTATTGTAAAGTTTGCCAAGTCAAGAAACTGAAAATAAATTTCCAAAGCATATTGACTTTGCATGTAGATTGCTTATATGCCACCGCCTGATATTGTCAGTTTTATGTATAATTTATGACTTTTTCAGACTTTATCCAAGATTTATGTCAACGACAGCAACAGACTCTGAATCTAAACCTCCAGAGGTAGCTGAAACAACCGAGTCCAACCCACAAGAACACAGTGCATTGCTAGAAGCAAATGCAAAATTAGAGAAAGACTTAAAAGAATTGGAGGTACGGTAATCTGCATGATGCACAAATAACTATCTAATTTACGTTACCAAATCCATTTCCTTTTTATGTATAGTATGTTTCATTACTCTTGTTTACTGTAATTTTCACATCCTGCATAAAAGCAACTTGTTTTTAAATTGATTGGCATTATTTATTTTCAAAAATGTTATAAACCTTGTTATTTCACTTCAGGATAAGTATAAAAGGGCTCTGGCAGAAACTGAAAATGTACGGAACAGGATGCAGAAACAGATACATGATGCGAAGATATACAGCATACAGGGCTTTTGTAAAGATCTGCTGGATGTAGCAGATGTATTGAATAAAGCCGGAGAAGTTGTTCCTAAAGATGAAATCCATAACGAGAATCCACACCTGAAAAACTTGTATGAAGGAGTTATTCTGACAGAAAAAGAAATGTTGACTGTGTTCCGCCGTCATGGATTGGAACAGATAGCTCCAAAGGAAGGAGACAAGTTTGATCCTTTTTTGCATGATGCACAGTTTCAGATTCCAGTGCCTAACATGGAGCCAGGAACAATAGGAGCTATTATGAAAATTGGTTACAAGTTACATGATCGCACTATAAGACCTGCTCTTGTAGGTGTGGTGAAGGAATAAAGATTTTCATGGAACAATAATGATTAAAGACAGCGGTTTAATGACATATATATCATTTCTTAATAGTAGTTTATGTACATGAACTTGATATTATGAGTTAAATGTTTTCCTTTCTTTCTTATTATTTAATTTGAAGTTGGCTGTATTTTTGGTTAAACAGAAATGATAAAGTCAAGCAAATGCTGGCTGATTTTTTATGCTGTACAAGTATCTTGAGCAGTATTTTCTTGTTATATTATAACAAAGGAAATGGGAACATTGGATAGAACAGCTTTGTCGGAAATTATAACATCACAATATATATCGCAGAATTATATGAATTAAAATTTTTAATGTGCTTAGCTTCTCTCCTGGTCATCTCACGTCCTTAAATATATATAAGCTTCTTTCGATTGTTAAATTGTTGATGGGGTTGCTATTGCTGCATCTCTGTGCCCGGATCGAGCATGGAAATGTACAATACGTGTATGACCAAGGATATGACCTACAACCTAAGAAAGTTCAATAGCAGGACAACCTATAAAAAGTAATGCAAGTGGTCCTCTTCTTCGTCGAGACGTGACGTACAGGTTTATGAAAAGTATTTTAAAGGAGCAACTTTGTATCATTGCAAAATAAAGAAAATTTGATCAGACCCACGACTGTTGTAACCTGGGTTATTTATTTATTTAAAATGTAATGTATTATACAGGCCGTTGTGATTAACAAGGTGAAAATCGAATCTGGCGACCGATATTCAAGAGGTCGAACTCAAAAGACGAAAGTACGCGGAGTTCATTTATATCCCTGACATTTCTGTTTCTTTTACACACATTACACTAAGAAAAACATGAACCGATGTGCGAACAACATATCCCATTTTTTTAAAATTTCGTCCCAAGTGTGCCCATGACGCTGAGCTTACTTAAGCCCGATTCGGTCGATTTTAGTGTGCTTACTTTGGTGATACCTATACAGGAACTTGGAGCGCTGCACTTTTCAGTCATTTCATGTCGATTGTTCATAATTGGACGACTTTATTTCGCACAGAGTTTTTTGTCCTGCAAACGAGAGTGCTTTGGGCTTCTGACATGTTCTGGCACAAGAAATAAAAACGGCTATTTTGTATAACACGGTGGTGAGATTTTAGTTTATCTATCGTCATGACAAGATGTGCGAACACCATCAACGTCGCCTCTCGCTAATTCACGTGAGCACTTGTTGCATAAAAGTTCATGCACGAAAATCAAAACAATATTTACAGACATCAAATTCAGGAGGAACTGTTATCTTCCTAGGTGAATGATCCCAAAGACCATAGAAAACGACTTATTCAGAATATCAAACTTATCTACTATAACGCAAATAAAAAACGATCAAAATGTTAATGGTCTATTATGGGGAAGCATGGCGATTTTATAAAATGAGTTTAGTACTAATTGTAATCGGGCTATCTGCGAAANCTGTATGGACAGAAAACTGATCTATTGCTTACAGTTATCATGTGTTGCTAGCAACTGGAATGCATATACATGTATCGGTAGAATAAAAAAATATTATTATTATTGTTTTACACTTCATTTTCACAAAACAAACAATCATCAAAATAAATAAATAAAATTATTCAAATATATATAATGCATTCTGGAATAAATAAATCCATCAAACCAGAAGAAAAAAATAATATGGCTTGATGCTAAAGTATAATGAATATCAATATCTTCAAGGACGGAAATTGACACAAAAGTGATAAATACTACAATAACAGACAGCAAGAGGCACACCAACGTAATGCTATTCCCTCTTACATTGTAATCAGCCTATATATAATGTATTAATATCAATAACATCAAATAATCATATCACATTATTCTACAATAAGTGGATGGACATAACAATACAGCAGCATCTCACATATTTAAATACCTTTGCATCACAGTTTATTATTTGTCTTTGATTATTTTATTTATTATTAGCAAGACATTTACGGGTAATCCTTTCCACACTATAGAATATTACTTCCTCCAAAATACTGTTATTTTTTAGTTTATTGCAATTCTGGTAATCAAACCTAAAAAAAGTAATATTGTGGCACAAATCCTTATTGTTGCACTCTTTTCCTCAAGAAATGAACATATGGCAATGTTTTACAGATAAGACATATACTGCATGAAATGATTTATTATATATAATAAGAAATAAAAACGAAAATACAGTGGAATGTTTCTTATATGTTAAATGGTAGATGTCTGCATAGGCAAATTTAATGAAGTGCCTGATTTGATTAATCTTCCCTGTCGTCTCTCATGCAAATTCTATGCTAAGCAGAACTAGGAGAACAGTTTTCCTCCCATGTGTCAAATCTCTCCGTCTCCTTTGTATTCTAAATATTCTCTCTACATCTAATCCCTTTCGACTGACTTTGGTATAAATCTTAATCAGTTTTAATAGGCTCCTTCCCAAACTTTCTATTGTAAACAAATGACTGAAAAGATTGTGATAAACTTTTATATCTACTAAGACAGGAGCAAACCCTAATACTTCTCATAAATATTATCACCGTTAAATGAAGGTTAAATATATCTTGGTGGTTTCTGCAAGAGATAATGCAATCAAATGTCCCCCTGTCCTGGTTATGTACACCTACAGCTCCAGATCCAGTACACCCCTCTCAAATATCCATTTTGACAGAAGGAGAAGGCATACTGATAACAATATATTTTTTCTCAAATACTGACGTAGGCTGGCATACAATTCAGGTCAGGGTTGCTAAGAGTGTTTTGGATGATCCAATTCACTGCAGGTTGCAGGCTGATGATGTGTTCTTCCCCATGGCTTCATTTCTCTTGGCCAAAGTCACAGCATCTGCTACACCTTTAAATCTGAAGCTGCCTTCAAGAATATCTTCCACGTCCTTCACCTGATGAAAATATTAATATTGTAATGAATTTATCCTCATTAACAGTTTTTTTTCATAACAAGAGACGAAATTAGAGTGCTTTCTATAATCACAAAATCTGTAGCCACTTTCCCCCGAAAAAAGGTGATTAAAAAGACAGCAAAATATTGGAAAAGAAATAACTTTTAGTTTAACTATACTGAAGAAGGCCACCTTTGAAATGGTGACTTTTCTTTATAGAGCCCTCATTAATATTACCAACAAGTAGCTTTTCTGGAAAAAAACTAATTAAGTCTTTCAGACTTGGCTGCATTTGTTATATATATTTATCCATAAAACATTTTTATATTCTGTAATAAGTACAAACATTTCTTTCTCTCTCTCTCCACACAACTTACTGCAAGTTCAGTTCGATTTCCTTTCTTTGCTTTGTTTACCAGTTCCTGAATTTTTCTCTGAAGATTTGAAAAACAAACCAAATTAATTAAAAAAGTCAAATTAAAGAACATTATGATAATCCAGACCATCTGATAAAGTGCATGCATTTGTACTAGTTGTAAACCACAAAAGGCAGTCAGCTCTTCCACCTGGTCTCCAAAATTATTACATCAGCCATTAAGAAATTTCAAAGCATATAAATCATGTTGAAAAAAATTCTTTTATATTATGTTTTAAAGTGGTAGATTTTCTACATGTTTAGAACACTTAATTGATAAGGTTTAACTCTGTGGCTTCTACTGTAAGAAAAAGAAACTCACCAGTTTGGTCTCTGCTCTCTCAAACTTTTTTCTTTCAGTTGCAACTTCAATTGCCATTCTGTTTTTCATGTCCTCCTGTAATATGATATACACATTTTATTGCAATTTATTGTCTTGAAATCATAAGATCTTTTGGAAATTGGAAATGTTTTACCTGGTAAAAAAAGTGGTTTGTTCATCTATGAAAACAAAAAAATCTTGGGCCAAACTCACAAAGAACACCAGTCTAATTTTTTGGATAAAAAATTGGTCTCCATCAGTCAAAGATAAATTAGCCTCTCTGTATCTAAGTATACTGGTTTATTTTATTTTTATTTCAAAACCTCTCAGCACAGTTGTCCTTTCAATGGTGTAAGTCAGATACCTGTTTTAACTTTTTTTAAAATTTAATTCATGGTTTTCTCCTTAGCCATGAGTTTTCAGGCAGGAAGAATGTTCCTATAGTTAGCTTCAAGATAATACTCTACTGACTAGGTCTGATAAATTATGGTTTTCTGTAGCTAGTTCAATACAATACTTCACCCATTTTGTATGGTAGACCACTGTTTTCTCTGTAGCCATGAGATCTCTAGTAAGAAGAGTGGTCTCTAGTTTTAATACAGTACTCTACCTGTTTGGTCTGGTGAATCATGGTTTTCTCCCTAGCCATAAGTTCTCTGGTGGGAAGAGCTGTTCCTCCTTTTTGTCCCCCAGTCTTTTGTTTACCATACACTTGGATCACCAGTGGGTCATTCATGAGGTAGTCAACAAGCTGAAATTTCAAAAGCTATGTCATATATTACAACATTTGGAAATAACTCATACTGGGTACTGGTTTTAGCAAGCTTAGCTAACTATGTGTTCTGTCTACTGTCAGTCTGTCTGTCAGTCTGTCTGGTCTTTATTCATGTATCTCTGTTGATTTAAATGTGGAGCAATAGCAATAAGTAGTTTGCATGATAAATCACAATCTAAGGAATTTGATTTTAATTTTTCAAGTTTTTTTTGTATTAAGTCCAAAACATTTCAAATACTTAAAGGGATAATAACTCTTCGTTTGAGATCAATATTTCACAATAAAAACATTGTGAATAACTCATAGAAATATAATATATTCTGTTTTACCACAAAAACGGCAGTTATAACTATTATTCTGATATCTGAGCTTGTCTTTAGACCACGTGACCTCCACTGATGGCTATACTCTGTTAAAATCTCTTAAGAGATTTTAACAAAAAACCAAACTTTTTAGAAAAAAACCAGGGACTAACTTTTAATGTAAAAATGGATTCATTAACCATTGGTAAGTATGGGAAAATTGTTGTTTACTCCAGGAAAATTCATTTTTTGGCCGAAACGAAGAGTTATTATCCCTTTAAGTCATCACTTTTATCTCTATTTTTTATTGCCTACTTATCTGAATTGAGTCAATCATAAAACATCAAATAAATTAGCTCATAAAAATGTAATCTATCTATTAAAATAAATAAATAAATAAATAAATAAATGGTGAAAAAAAGAAAACCCCTCCTGCACTGACCTGCTGTGTGACAGGTTTAAATGTGAACTGTTTGTCAAAGTTGAAGTCCATGTTTACTCCACTCATCTCCTTGGACACTGCTGGGGTGTCGTCTAGGTAGAACTTATAGCTCACATAGACCTGGAAATTTAGATTATACCAATGGCATGTAGAACTCCCAATATATCAAATATTACTTTTGTCTGCTTTTATTCATCCTTACATACATAAGGAAATCCTGCTGATAATCATGGCAGTAAAATATAAACAGTCTAGTAAATATGCTCTGAGTCTTTTGTTCCATTGATAACTTTAAATAACTCAGCTTTTTACAAAAAAGTTCTGACTCATCAACCTTTCCAGAATGTTTTCTATCCAAAGCAAAATTATTATTTTATCAGTTTAAATAATTGTAAAAATCTTCTTCCAATTCTACTAAATATTTATGATGGCACCAATCAAAGCAACGAGTCTACATTTTTCATGTAAATTATCCTGTTTTATATCTTTATCTCATTTTAATCATTAAGATTAAAACACGTGTCAGTGTACCCATTTGTTTATCATATTACAAGTAGCAATAAAAACTTACAAGCAAAGAAGTCTACCAACCTTTTCATACTTGGAAGGAATTCCACCAACTTTCCCAATTTTCATTTTGAAATTAAGTTGTTTTCCCACAAGTTCATAAGGGTCCTCCACAAAATCATCTTCAATTGGCTTCCACTTAGTGTCACATGGGAGAGCCTGCACCTGCATGCGGCCTGCAAGACATAAGAATTCATTGATACGGTAAAGTTAACCATTTCTCAGTTCAACTCTTCTCTTAAACTATTTCTGCATGCACAAATAATGTTTCTCTTGTAGACTGTTTAACTTGAATACAGCAATCAGTTTAAGTCATTAATTAGATGCCTGCATGTGTGTGTGTGTGTATGAGAGTTTGTGTGTGTGTGTGTGTGTGTGTGCATGAGCACTCATTTGGGTGTGAAACACTTTTGCACTGCATGCAAGCCAATTCATACCATTTCACAATTGTGCTATACTTTCTGAACCAACAGAAAAGAACCTCTATATAAATTTACAGTAAAATTATGTAAAACAAAACTGAATCAGCAAAACTGCTGAACCTACATACCATGTTCAATTCCCCTGAAGTCTGTGATTGACAGGTGTTCGTCAGTGTCAATCAAATACCCTAGGGACTGCAGGAACACCTGAACTGACCCAATTAAAACTGCTGAGTCAGCAGATTCCTCGAATGGATCCTTCTCCTGTAATAAAATAAATAAAATGTAAACAATTTCTCAGATTAATATGACACCAATTCAACACTGGATGCCAGTTGAAACCTGTCCCTCCATCCTGACACATGACCTACAATTTTTTTTCAAAAATTTCTGTTTGGCATTAAACTTTATAACAGTCTACTACGTACTGTTCTTTCTGACAATCTACAACCTCTAATTCATATATTTTATTAAATGTATTTTTATCTGAATTCATATGATTACAAACTTTAAAGAAGGTTTGTAGTTAAATAATCTAGAAGTGAAATCTTACTGGAGGTTCATCCCAATCCTTCTCATCATTGATAAAGTCATTGTACATCTCCTCCATCTTGTATTTTCTGTTCAGAAACTTATCATATGGCCACATCCACTCGTTGCCGTTCTCCAAGTTCTTCATTTTAACCATGACCTTCAAAGAAAGAATAGAAAAATAATATAAATGAATAAATATATATAAATTAATTAATTCGTTTGTTAATTATTTAAAGAGAAAATATAGGCAACAATCATATTTGTGTGTACGTCAGTATTCGGTATGATTGATTTTATATCAAATATATAAATATATCAGGGGCGGATCCAGAGATATTTTCTGACAGTCTTCCAAATTATCTTTTTTGACCCATCTGCCATTTTTGACCATCTTCCAACAGAAAAAATTAGATACCCATCAATGTAAACTTGAAAATCTGGCCATCTTCCAGAAGACCCAGAAGACGGCTTAAATCCGCCCCTGTATATAATATATAAATATATGAGTTACAAACAGTACATTGCTTATCAATGACATGTGAGGAATTTTGTTTGTTTTCTTCTCTCTCTCCTTCCCCCCTCACCCCCAAACTCCACCTGCCCTAATCCTGTCAGGAACTCTAGGGCAATTTAAACACTCTCAAACAGAATAACAAACTTTCAAACATGAATTTTTAGCAAGAAAAGACCCCCAAAGTTGAAAAAAAATCACTATGAAACTTTACCTCTGTCCTGCCTTCTTTCAGCCCCCTGGCCTGTGGAGACACCAGGGCTATCTCAAAAAACCTCTTCTTGTTCAGGCACTCTGACATGGCATTGCACTGGTTGACCATGGGCATGGTACGGACAAGGTCATCTTGGAGGACAAGGTCCTCTGGAAAAAAAATTATAATGAGTTAAGCACATATATACATGTACACATACATACATACATACAACTTCCAGGTGGTTTGGCTGAACTGTTAAAAGTAAAAAATGGATATTAACCTAAGAAAAACATGCTATATTTATAATATCTCTCCACTAAAAGTGATTCTCTGAGTCATGTCATTGTTATTCATGCACATTTTGTGGAACATTTGCGTAATTCCGACAGCTCCATTATTTTCTTTCCTTTCTACAATTATAGTACTGTACCCTCCAATATAAACTCCACTGGAATCAAAATGTGATGTAAATTAACAGTTATGCAAACATTACACAAAATGTATGTTTCACTGAATCTGATATGACTGGAAGAATTTCACTTTGTGGAATAACCCAATCAGAAATATTTACCTTTACTTCCGGACTGCCCGACTTTAGAGAAGCCAACTTTCTGTAGGGCCGTCTCTGAGATTTCTTCCTGTGCCTTTTCAAATGTTGGTGCCTCGACCTTCTTGCCTTGCTTCAACTGCTGGGCATAATCCACTGGGTGGTGGAACACAAACAGATTTGTGGAACCAAATAATATCCTGAAGATCAAAATCAAAGCAATTTAATCTCTGATGTGTTTTTCGAAATACTAGTCAACACAGAAATTATGGAAACAATTAACAGAAATGATGATGCACAAAAGGCTCATGGAGTCAAAAATTTGCAATGCAATGAATAAATACAACACTGTTCATATTATTTTCAATGAATGGCTATCAAATTATCATATAAAAGTGCTTTAAATGAGTATTTCAACAAACAGCGAACAAGTTTTTAATCTGAAGTTCCAACAACATAAATGGTTTAGAAGCAAGTCTTGAACATCTGTGCAGTAGCTCCACCTACCTGTCATTATGGTGCAGTAACTCCTCTTTTGAGATTTCTTTTCCATTGATGATGACCGCTGACTGAAATGTGGGCTTGATGGACACTTTGTTATCCTTGTTAGTCACAGTAGCATGTTCCATCTGGATACTGGGGAAATGAAATATTTACAATTTATTACAACCACATTCATGCCTTATATGGTGTGGAGTTTAATAAACAATATAATGTTTTGAGTAAAATGTGACAACATCCCGGAGTGTTGTAAAATGGCTTTTGCTTTTTTAAATTATTGACAGGATGTATCATTCATTGTACAAAAGCTTATCAGTATAAATAGATTTTTGAAATAAAATATGGGTTGGTAGGTATAAACAAATCAAGAACAAATTCTATACAACTGGACTTAACACTTTCTATTAAATATAAAGAAATGAGATTTTTAACAAAGTAATATTGTTAAAATTTGTCCTTTTTTAATCACAGTAAACTATGTCAGGTTTTATTACTTGAGTCCACTGAGCTGTATTTCTGGAGGGGGTTTGGCATTCTTTGTTCCAATTCTGGATTGACCTAAAATAACAATGTGAAAGGAATAAGCCACATAGATTATCTTTGTCTTATTTTATATAGTTTTAGTTGAAAACATAAAGGATATAATTTACCAGTTGTGTCTCTAATATTCTTAATCTACGTACAAAGCAGTTTTTATTTATTAAGCCTCTTTTTTAATATAATGTCAATTGCACAAATTAAATTGCAAAGTTGTCAGATGGACTGATAGAGTCTCCATTTACTAGGAAGTCTTGCACATACAACTTAAAGAGAATCAAGATTTTTTTCAAGGCAAATAAACATTTGTTGATTTTTTTTAAATAATAAATATAGATTAAAAAGATTACAAAAAGATTTAAGAATATCAGAAATCCTTTGAGTGCAATAAAAAAATGGAAAAAAATCAAGAAAAGCAGAACATGTCCAAAAGTAATTGTGTCTTTTAAACATATCAAATTCGCCCATTTCCACGATGCAATCCAGGAAGCAGGTCTGACATTGATTATGCATTTAAACCAGTATGGAAATCAACCCCTCCATTTCTTACCTGGCTTACAGAAGTGGATCAACATCCCAGATAAAGAAGGATCTTCATTTAAGTTCCAAAAATATGGGGTCACTTTCTTCTCCTCTTCCTTCTGTTTTTGTTCAGCCAATGCTTTCTGAAAATTGTGAATGAGTTTCAAAATAATTTATGGTCTTATGCATGTGTTAAACAGGTAGGCTGATGAAAATTGTAAAAAATATCAATAAATAAAATGAACTTTATAATGGGATT